TCGAATCCCTGGGCTCGGGCAGTCCTCTCACCTCAGCTTCCCAAAGTGCTGGGATTATAGGTATGAACCTCTGTGCCTGGCCAAGACGTTTTCATCTGGGGAAGCAAAGAAAATGTCTCGAGTGGTGAGATGGACTGAATAGGGAGGGTGGGGTATGGAGGTCATGCCATTTTTGGTAAAAAACTGCTGCTGAACATGCAGCACAGTGCGAGCAGGTGTACTCATAATCACCCATCATGAAATGGGCAAACATGTTGAAAGACTCTCCTAACAAAATTCACTGAAGTTGAATACAGCCTCTCACAACAACACTAGCCGGTACACTAATGCCAGTGGGTTCCTAGAACACTTATCTAGTGGGGAAACCTGTACTGCAAGGAGCCCACCCTCCAAGAGATAATTTTGGTATTTTTTGGGTCCCCCCCCAATATATATATTTATATAGAGAGAGTTGAGGTGTCACTCTGTTGCCCAGGCTGGAGTGTAGTTGCACGATCACAGCTTATCACAGCCTTGACCTCCTAGGCTCTGGTGAGCCTCCCACCTCACCCTCCTGAGTAGCTGCAACTAGAGGTGTGTGCCATCACAGCTGGCTAATTTTTTACTTTTTTGTAAAGATGGTCTCACTGTGTTGCCTAGGCGGGTCTTGACTCCTGGGCTCAAGTGATCTTGGCCTCCCAAAGTGCTAGGATTATAGGCGTGAGCCATGGCGCCCAGCCCCTCCTTATATTTTTGACTGTTTGACTCCTGTCTTTCGGTTGCCTTTCCAGGGTCCTCTGCCAGAAATAATTTACTCCATTTCTGTACCACTGTGTAAGAGTCATGCATTGGAGATACATACTATTTATGTGCACTGTCTGTATTTTGTATCCAGTTCACTAGATTACCAATTCCTCTAGAAGGTAGTGGGTGGGTGGGGATAATTCTGCAGGACTCTGCCTAGTTTCTTAGGATATGCTAAGTGTCTGACTGACCAAATGAAGCATGTGTTTGTTAGCTATTTAGCTTCGATTACTGCTCTTAATCACTTGCACACGGGATAATACATGTTTGTGACACAAAATCCAAAAGGTACAAAAGAACATTGAGAGAAAAGTTAGTGTTCCCCTCACCCCGTCCCTCGTCACCCTGTTCCTAGTCATTCAGTTCCTTTCCCTGGAGATAGCCCCTGTGAGCAGTTTCTCACAGATCCTTCTGGATACCTGGGGCATATTTATCTTGCCTATGTAAGTTAAGGATAGAGAAATCCTAGGAGAGATTTTATCTTTTTCTCTTCTGATACTCTATTTTATTTATTTATTTAGAGTCAGGGCCTCACTCTGTCACCCAGGCTGGAATGCAGTGGCGGGATCATAGCTCACTGGGTTTACAAGTGTGAGCCATTGTGCCTGACTAAATCATTTTTTGAATTTATCTTTTTATTTCTTGGTACTCCTCTTCCTCAGAAGACATCATTGCTATACGTTGACATCATTGAACCTTCTCAGAAGAGAACACTGTTGTACTCCTGGCACATCTGGAAATCAGATAGTCTACTGAGACTAACCTAGTGCTTGCTTTTTCTTTTTTTTTTTTGAGTCAGGGATGTCACTTTGTCACAGTGGTATGATCACAACTCACTGAAACCTTGATCTCCTGGGCTCAGGTGATCCTTCTGCCTCAGCCTCTCGAGTACCTGAGACTATGGGAGTGTGTCACCGCTCCTAGCTAATTTTTTAAGTTTTTTGTAAAGACGAGGTCTTGCTATGTTGCCTAGGCTGGTCTTGAACTCTGGGACTCAAGCAGTCCTCCCACTTCAGCCTCCCAAAGTACTGGAATTATAGGTGAGAGCCACCACACCTGGCCTAGTCCTTTCTTTAGTCCTTTGTATTCGGATGTTCCTCTCAGGGCCCATTGTAAATCTAGCAGACCACTTGGATGTCCCCTCTCAGGGGACGTAAAGAGATTGCTGGTGATTATGCAGGACAAATTTATGCCAGCACAAATTTTTTTAAAAATATGTTTCCTTGAAGTTTTCTATTCAAATTGCATGAGAAAGCAAATAAAGAATTGAACTATATACTGGGATAGGATTGATCAGATAAAAAGTGGTTTTCTCCCAGCACTTTGGGAGGCCCAGGCAAGTGGATTGCCTGAGCCTGCGGGTTCGAGACCAGCTGGGGCAACTTGACGAGACTTGTCTCTATAATAAATAAATAAAAAATTAGCCAGGTGTGGTAGCATGCTCCTGTAGTTCCAGCTACTTGGAAGGCTAAGGTGGAAGGATCACCGGAGCCCAGCAGGTCACCGCTGGGGTGGTCATGAGCGTGCCACTGCACTCTAGCCTGGGCGACAGAGTGAGAGTCTTATTCACAAAAAAAATGTGGGAGGAAGAAAATAAGACTGCATTGTCTGCTCGAGCAGAAAAACACCAGGTGGAAGATGTCAGACAAATTACTATTGTTCAACATTTATCAATGAACCTGCAAGGCATGTTGGCAACTATTTCACATGTTACCACATGTTAGAAAAATATAAGATATCAAATTTTGATTTCTTTGTCATAAATAAGTTTCTCAACATCCAAAATTCCATTATAAGCCAAGTATTACAATAAAATAATTGGCTCTGCCAGGCTCAGTGGCTCAGCCTGTAATCCTGCACCTTTGGGAGGCTGAGGTGAGTGGATTGCCAGAGCCCGCGGGTTCGAGACCCGCCTGGGCAACTTGGCGAGACCTCATCTCTACATAAATCAAAAATTAGCCGGGCATAGTAGCGCGCGCCTGTAGTTCCAGCTACCTGGAATGCTGAGATAGAAGGATCGCCGAAGCCCAGCAGGTCGAGGCTGCGGTGGCCGGGAGCGGCCACTGCACTCCAGTCTGGGCGACAGAGTGAGACTCCAACTCAACAACAACACCAACAACAACAACAAAATATTTGGCTCCAACGCTGTGCTATTGATATGAAGTGACTTAGTTTTCACTATTTTGTAGAAAAGTGCAGTTGAGTTGCTGGCAGGTGATCCGCAAGGTGTCTCCGAGTGCAAAGGGTTGAATTTATAAACAAAACCGTAAATAAACACGAGTGTTATGTTGGACTCCCTTGTAGATTAGGCAAGGTGTTGCGGGCCTGGGCAAAATTTGAACCAGTTCTTTTTTCCTTTACCAAGGTGGTTTTCATACTTTGCACTTTCTGGCAAGTCCCCATCTTATGCGAGGTATGCCAACTGAGCTATTTGTAATACGCATTTTTTCCTCTCTGTCTCTGGTTGTGTCTCAGTTTTCTTTTAGACTTCACTAAACTATATGAGTTTCTCAAGGGCAGAACTTATGTATATCTGTTATCATTATTAATGCTTAATTATGGTGGTAGTACAGGAATGCATTCTCCTTGTACAAAATTAAGGCTTCACTCGTAAGTGGACCTTGAATGATTATCGTAATACTATAAGAAAAGGACTGTGGTAGTGGGAAATTGCTGGAGGAGGGATGGGAGTAGTGGGATTCTGCCGGGAGAGGGGCGCACATCTCACCAAGGAGGGTGCCTGCATAATAACTGTGTGTATACCTAACCCTGAATTGTACCCCACATCTTTAAGATAAAAAAGAAATTAAAACATTATAGGTAAAGGTCAAGTTTCCTCTGCTTGCACCCTGATTTCACAGCGCCTTCTCTAGAGATAATTATGGTTATGAATTTGGGCACATCTGCCCAGACATTTTATTCTGTATTTACATTATCATATTAGAGATTTCCTGCAATAAGTAAGTGAACATAACTTTTCAAAGGTTGTGTTACTGCCATTGGCTAATTTTCTGGAGCTGACTTGACCAAATGGATGTTGTCTTTAAATTGACATTGTAACTGTGGACCCAAACTAAGGCTATTCTTGTAACAACTTTCATTCTTTCATTGTTATTTTATTGCCTAGATTAAAACAAGAAAAAATTTTTTTGTTTGTTTTTGAGTCAGAGTCTCACTCTGTCACTCATGCTGGAGTGCAGTGGCACTCTCATGACCACTGTAGCCTCAACCTGCTTGACTCAGGCGATCCTTCCACCTCAGCCTTCCAGGTAGCTGGAACCACAGATGTGCGCCACCACCCTGGCTAATTTTTTCATTTATTATAGAGATGAGTTCTCGCCATGTTGTCCAGGCTGATCTCAAACTCCTGGACTCAGACAATCCTCTCCTACCTCAGCCTCCCAAAATGCTGGGATTATAGGTTTGAGCCATGATGCCTGGCTCCAAAGGTCTGAAATTTTGTTTTTTGCTTTTTTTTTTTGAGTTGGAGTCTCACTCTGTCGCCCAGAGTGGAGTGCAGTGGCTGCTCCTGGCCACCGTAGCCTCGATCTGCTGGGCTCCGGTGATCCTTCCACCTCAGCCTTCCGAGTAGCCGGAATTATAGGCATGCGCTACCACGCCCAGCTGATTTTTTGATTTATTGTAGAGATGAGGTCTCGCTGCCCAGGTGGGTCTTGAACCCGCGGGCTCAGGCAATCCACTCACTTCAGCCTCCCAAAGGTGCAGGATTACAGGCTGAGCCACCGAGCCCGGCTTGAAATATTATTTTTAACAAACTAGCATCACAGATGTACCTGTGTACTTAAAGACATTACAGGACTTTATTAACAATTGACTTTGAAGAATTTGACATGCTTGCTGGAAATTGTTGAGGTGCCTTTGAAAAATTTTCTTGATTGATACTTTTAGAGTGATATATTGAGCTGCCCTGAACTTCCAGAGACCCCCTAGAAGAACCATGTAGTTGGATTCATAACATAAGATGGGCTTCATCCCATCTTAATATTACAAGTGGAAAATCTTGGTACTGAAATGTTAAATCACAATTCTTACCTGATTATGTGCTGGGTTTTGTTGTTGTTGTTGTTGTTTTGTGTTTTTTTTGGAAAATGAAGGCGAGAGAATTGTCTGAGTCCAAGGTGTACTGATCTTTAAACATGGTTATGTACTGGGTAACCACATAGTAACCAGACCTTTCTCTTAACTATTTTGGTAGGTTGCCAGGATGGTGGATAAGAATATTTACATCATTCAAGGGGAGATTAACATTGTGGTTGGGGCTATTAAACGAAATGCCCGATGGAGCACCCATACACCATTGGTAAGTGGGGAATGAATGGGTAGAGAGCCTTGTCACTGACTCGTTGTAGGCCATCTGGTCCACAGTTAAGAGATAAATCAAATTCTCAGTAATAGTGAGAAAAGTAGCAATTCAGAGTTGTCCTTAGTGTCAAGAACCCTTCTGTCTTATTCCAACTAGCATCAGATGTGCGAACTGTCTTTTTTCCTCCGGCATCCAAAGATGACGCCATTTTTCTTCTGTTTTTATAAATATAATACTGTACTTGGGACCTCTTAAGTATACCTAAACATGTCGGAAAGGCTCCTTATCCTCAGATTCTCTAGGGCTATACTTAGCTATCACATTTATTTATTTATTTATTTTTGAGTTGGAGTCTCACTCTGTTGCCCAGGCTGGAATGCTGTGACACACTCACGGCCACCCCAGCGTCGACCGGTTGGGCTCTGGTGATCCTTTCGCCTCAGCCTTCCAAGCAGCCAGAACTACAGGCATGTGCTACCACGCCCAGCTAATTTTTGTTTATTTTAGAGATGAGGTCTCACAAGTTGTCCGGGCTGATCTTGAACCCGTGGGCTCAGGCAATCCTCTCACCTCAGCCTCCCAAAGTGCTGGGATGACAGGCTGAGCCACTGAGCCTGGCCAGCTATCACATTTATGTAAATTAGTAAAGTTGTTGATAAGTAGAGTTGTTGATAGTCTATGACTTGGTGATGGCACTCCTTCTTGGGGCTTCAATAAACTTCCGTATATGGAGCAGGATATATCTTGCCAATCAGATGAGTGGGAAACTTCACCTGTTATGAAGCTGCATACGTGTGTTCATGGATATTTTTTGTAAACTTGTGTAAAATCGTTTTTGGCATAATTGTAAAAACAAACGTGGCAATTTCCAAGCTGGCAAGTTTACAGAAACACACTTGGTAAGGGCATTTGGAAATTTCTCATGCTCATTTATAGAAACGGATTGGCTTCGAAGTGACGATGCAGTCAGGAGCATCTTTGAAATGAGCATGTGTGCTCACCTCATGAGTGTGAGGGTGGGAAGACTGGCCATCCACGCAGAAGGGACCTGGCTGTCGGTGGCAGCTGGGTGGCTGTGGTGGTCGTGGTGTAGATTTGCATTTGGGAAGTCACCATTTGGGTGAGCCCAGAGTTTCTCTGAAAGGAGAGTAAGGAAGATAATGAACCTTGGCTAACTATTTTCCTCAGAAGGAAACTTGCTGAATTTTCTGAATGAATTAAGGACAGAGCCCTTGGTCTGTCCTTTATTTTCTTTCTTCTCTTTGGCCCAATAATGACTGGCTTTTCATCTCCGTGTTTCACAGGATGAAGAACGGGACCCTCTGCTGCATAGCTTCAGTCACCTGAAGGAGGTTTTAAACAGCGTAGCAGGTAGGACTCACTGATACGGAGGTGGGACTTACTATCCTGGTCAAAAAATGTGTGTGGTTATCGCAGGACAGTCACACTTTTTCTGTAAAGGACCTTACAGTGGATGGTTTAGGCTTTGTGAGCCACACAGAACTGGATAGCTACTTGACTCTGCCTTTGCAACTCAAAAGCAGTCATAAGGAATACATGAGTGAATAAGAAATGCATGTTTTCTCTCAGAAAGAAATCTGCAGGCCGGATTTGGCCCACAGGTGTTGTGTGCCAAGCTTGGTCTGTTCCTTGCGTTTGGTCTCCAGGGTCTTACTATGGAACATCGTGTGTCCCCAGAATCTTTGGTACCTCTGTTTGCCCTCTGCTTTCCCAATCCTAATAATCTTACATGTTATTTATATGTTTAGAATTTTCTTTTTTCGCCCCAATTTTTTTGTTTTTGGAGTTGGGGTCTCATTCTGTCGCCCAGGCTAGAGGGCAGTGGCATGCTCATAGCCATCGCAGCATCAACCTGCTGGACTCAGTTGATCCTTCCACCTCAGCCTTCCAAGTAGCTGAAACTACAGGCACGCACCACCATGCCTGGGTAATTTTTTGATTTATTGAAGAGATGAGGTCTCTCCAAGTTGTCCAGACTAGTCTCGAACCCCTGGGCTCAGGTAGTCCTCTTGCCTCAGCCTCCCAAAGTGCTGGGATTATAGTATGAGCCACCGTGCCCGACCATGTTTAAAATTTTCAACGCCATATTCACATGTATTGTCTTACTGGACTTTTGTGTATGTGTGTTACCATCTCACTCTGTTGCCAGGTTGGAGTGCAGTGACATGACTTCAGCTCACCACAGCCTCAACCTCCTGGGCTCAAGCAATCTTTCAGCCTCAGTCTCCTGAGTAGCTGGGACTACAAGTGTGTGCTACCATGCCTGGCTATTTTTTTTTCTTTTTTGGTAGAGACGAAGTCTTGCTACATTGTCTAGGTTGGTCTTAAACTTCTGGGCTTTAGCAACCCTCTCCCCTCCGCCTTTGTTTTTTTGAGAAAGCAGGATTTATTGAGGACAGAAAAGCTCCCACAGCGGGAGGGTGTGAGCCACTGCACCTGGCCTTTAACTTTATATATGACTCTGTGAGGGAGGCATGGTAGGCCTTGTCCCCTTTTTATGAAAGAAATTGAAGTCCAGAGAGGTTTAGAGTGATTTAGCTGAGGTCACACCAGTGCTAAGAGGTGTAAGAGGTGAAATGAAAACTAGAATTCAGGCCTCTGCTGCCTGGTTTAGCACTCTGTTTTTTTTTGTTGTTTGTTTGTTTTTGAATTGGAGTCTCACTCTGTTGCCCAGACTAGAGTGCAGTGGCATACTCCCAGCCACTGCAGCCTCGACCTGCTGGACTCCAGCGATCCTCTGCCTCAGTCTTCCAAGTAGCTGAAACTACAGGTGTGCGCTACCACTCCCGGCTACTATTTTGATTTATTGTAGGGATGAGGTCTCATCAGGTTGCCCAAGTGGGTCTCGAACATGCAGGCTCAGGCAGTCCACTCACCTCAGCCTCCCAAAGTGCAGGATCACAGGCTGAGCCACTGAGCCCGGCTGTTTCAGTACTCCTCTTTACCTGTTCTGTGTTACTTCTTTATATGAAAATAAAGGAGAATGTTCACATGAGGTGCCTTACATTGTGTGTGTATGTGTGAGTGTGTGTATGTGTGTGTGTACACACATGTGGCATGCATATCTATATACATGTGTATATACATGTGTGTATTTATATACACACATATGTGGTAGGGAAGGAGGAAAGTCTCAATGCCTGTAAGTTTTTCAAGGGCATAGGTAGAGATATAGACTGAAAGGGAAGGCCTCAAAGCCGTGTCCCTTTGTTGACTGTTGAGGACTCTTGCGTTATATAACCCTGTGATGTATACGTTTTAGCCAGGGACAGCTCAGACTATAAGTGAATAGTCTTTAGGCTTCTGCAAAGTAAACAAACAGTAAGCAAGAAAAATTTTCTTCTTTCATTAGAAATGTGGGAGATTTGGAAAAAATTCCTTTTTACTTTTCTAAACATGGGCTGAAGTCAGGGGTTCCCTGTGTTTTCTTAAAGGGGCAAATTTCCCTCACTTGAAAAAGCTTCGGAAATGTCAGCCAAGGAGAGGGTGTAAAGGAGACTGTTTGGGCTGGTTGGCAGGGCTAATGCTGCTACTAGGTGGTACGTTCTTCTCGTAGGGCCTGCACTGTGGCCTGGCTACTTTAGGAAGTTGGCTACTTGCACAGATTTGAAAAACATTATTTTACAAAGTTTACATATCCCAATTAGAAAATACAGTGAGTGGAGATTTACAATTTTTTATGTACTATGGAAACACTTGATGAACATTCCCTACACAATGAAGGGTTGTGTTGTAAGTGATTGAGGATACCCTACAATGACTTGGATCACCCTGGGGGCCTTGTAAGCCTTTAGGTCCTGTGCAAACCTTGGGGAGCTGAGGTGGCTGCTCTCCCGAGAGCCACACTTCTTGCCTGCTGTCCAGGCTCGTTTCCGCTCCTGTTTCCTCCATCCTGAGCTTTTCCAAGATTTCAGCTCAGAGATGATACCTGTGGTAAGTGACACAGTCCAGGAACCATGATCTTGGGACCATTCAGAGCCATCAGCATTGAGTTTGCTACCCAATTTTCTTATGTCTTTGTGCCAGGAATCCAGCTAGGTTATCTGCTTCTTGGAGTTAATAAAACCAGAATATGTTGAGAAGCCTGTTCTGTCAGTGGTAGGAGGATCGTAGCTGCCGAGCTCTCTGCTGGAGTGAGGGAGGGAGGGCGTAGTGTTTTCCGAGGCTCATAACTGTGGCAGATGTCAAAGTGGTTCTTGCCAAGGTTGCTGCGTTGTTCTTTGGTTTTAGCATGTTACCTGCCTGAGAAAATGACAGAGCAGACCCAAAATAGAGCATTTCATGGTCTTCAGATTGATTCTGACCCCCACACAGTGCTGGCTCCCAGGAACAGGCTTATGGGTCAGCTGCTCCTGTGGTCCTGGACTCTGCCATCCATGACCAATTTTTTGTTTCTCTTAGTGAAACAAACAGATTTTTCTGATTGGCAGTGTCAGGAGGACTGCTTTCCTGGAAACCTGTTAATGGTAGGATGCTGGGAAATGGTTTTGAACTTGGAGGGAGAAGCGGAAGGGACTGTGCCTGTGTGTTATGTGACCCGTTACGGTGTGCCACTGATTGGAGGAGTGATAGCAGGAATTCTAGCACTTCAGACCAGTTTAACTCATGAGACTGGCTTGGACATGGTCCCTTTCGGCAAAGGCTTCTGTCTGCACTTTTGCAGGCTTTCTGCTGGCTTGGTTGGTATGACTGTCACTGCTGGGAATGGTTGGTCATTGGATATTGTCAGTAAACCAAAATGATTTCTTTTTCTTTTCTTGCAAGCAGTCAGAGGATCTTCTAGGTAGATGAACACTACCCACTTTTCCAGGAGTATTATCTGATCATTGTGAAGGAAGTAAGTCCATTGTCTCCAGTAAGGTTGACCAACTCATACTAGTTACTCTCACAGATATGTATCTTTGGACCACGTTTGCAGCCGGTATTTGTCCAAACTGCATGATGCCTGCACGCTCTGTAGCGTTTCAATAGCACATTCTAATACCGAATCTAGGGAGGGTTGCTCTTAGAAGAAAAAGGATGCTCAAGAGCAAAGTTTGCACATTGTTACCTTCACCCCTGAAGCCTTCACCCCTGAAGCCTTCACCCCTGAAGCCTTCACCCCTGAGGCATACTTGACTGTGCCCTTGTTTGACCTTTGACCTCTGAGGAATTCTTTTAGGAAGTTATTCTGAAGGCATTAAAGCAGATGTGTGGTTGCCAAGGGCTGGGAAGGGCAATGGGGAGTGACTGCTAATGGGTACAGGGTTTCTTCTTGGGGTGATGAAAATGTCCTGGAATTAGATAGTAGTGACGGTTGCACAACGTTGTGGATAGACAAGAAACCACTGAATCATACACTAGAAAGGGGTACATTTTATGGTGTGTGAATTATATCTTAATTTTTTAAAAAAGCAAACATAGACGGCAGAAGTGATGGCTCTGCCAGTTTTTCCTCAGGGTGCAGAGGTGTGAAGGGAAGTCTGGCTGTGGCCACTGCTCTGCTTTGGACCCATTGCCCAGCAAAGGCAGCATAAGGATATGTTTAGCCTCCTGGCCCGGTTCATCCTTTATGTCTCTCTCATTAACTCAAGGAAGCACATGGCTTTTATATTTAAATTTATTCAAGCTGTAATCTTTGACATTTGAGTTAGCTTTTAGTACAGTTTTGCATTTATAGTAATATATATTATGTATTTTCTCTATCCCCAAAGAATTCGTTTTAATCTTTTCCGGATGCAAATTTCAGGCTGTCTTGTCCCATCTCCCCTCTTTTGCTCTCTTTCCCCTCCCCCCACGGAGTGTGTTTGATCAGGTGTGGCAGGAATATCCACTGTCAAGCTGCGCCCTTTATATTAGTCAATATTATCCTTCTCCCCCCTCCCTGTCTGTCTGCCCCTTTGGGCTTTCCCAGTTGATTTATAATTTTGGAATTCTCATCGGAGTCTGTAATACAGTTTGTTCATTATTTAACCAAAACCTGTTTAATGAGCAGAGAGAGGCAATGTAAATGTTAGGCATGTTGCAGTGATGTACCTTTGTGCTTCTCAAAGCGGGTGGGCGTTTAACTCTGTGCTGCCTGCAGGGCTGGGATGTCCCGGCCTTCGGGGCAGAAGGGCCACTGCCTCTCCTCCACATCTGCCCAAGCACCGCCATGGATTTAGATTCCGAAGACACATTTTCTTTTACCCTTCTAACTGTCTTGACGGATAACTATCCTCTCACATATTGGAGTCGCCTTCAGTCTCAGCTAGACCCTGTGATAGGATCTGCGGCATGGGAAGGGGCATGAAAGGGAAAGTGGAATATCAGGATCCTTGGTGCTGCTCTTGGTCTTAGGTTTGACAAGAGTGGGACAGTTTAGAGGAACG